ATTAAAATTCAAAATGATCTCGACAAACTGGAGAAATGGTCTGACGTATTGGGGGGAGTGATAGCTCAGTGGTTTGAGCATTGGCCTGCTAAACCCAGGGTTGAGAGTTCAATCCTTGAGGGGGCCACCTAGGGATCTGGAGCAAAATCAGTACTTGGTCCTGCTAGTGAAGGCAGGGGGCTGGCCTCGATGACCTTTCAAAATCCCTTCCAGTTCTAGGAGATAGGATATCTCCATAAATTAAATAATTAAATTAAAAGTAAATAGGATGAAATTCAATAAGGACTAATGCCAAAGTACTCCACTTAGGAAGGAACAATCAGTTGCATACATACAAAATGGGAAATGACTACCTAGGAAGGAGTACTGTGGAAAGAGATCTGGGGGTCATAGTGGATCACAAGCTAAATATGAGTCAACAGTATAATGCTGTTGCAAAAAAAGTGATCATTCTGGGATGTATTAGCAGGAGTATTGTAAGCAAGACACAAGAAGTAATTCTTCTGCTCTACTCTTCGCTGATTAGGCCTCAACTGGAGCATTGTGTCCAGTTCTGGGCACCACATTTCAGGAAAGATGTGAACAAATTGGAGAAAGTCCAGAGAAAAGCAACAAAAATTATTAAAGGTCTAGAAAACATGACCTATGAGGAAAGATTGAAAACATGGGGTTTGTTTAGTCTGGAGAAGAGAAGACTGAGAGGAGACATGATAACAGTTTTCAAGTACATAAAAGGTTGTTACAAGGAAGAGGGAGAAAAATTGTTCTTCTTAACCTCTGAGCACAGGACAAGAAGTAATGGGCTTAAATTACAGCAAGGGCGGTTTAGGTTGGACATTAGGAAAAACTTCCTAACTGTTAGGGTAGTTAACCACTGGAATAAATTGCCTATGGAGGTTGTGGAATCTCCATCATTGGGGATTTTTAAGAGCAGGTTGGACAAACACCTGTCAGGGACGGTCTAGATAAAATTTAGTCCTGCCTTGAGTGCAGGGGACTGGACTAGATGACCTCTCGAGGTCCCTTCCAGTTCTATGATTCTATGATAGTCTTTAATTAAATGATCATGGACTATTTTGTTCACAGGACCCCTGCTTCATTCAGCTCACAAGGATAAACAGAGCTACTCATTCCGGAGCTGGAGCAAGCTTAGCGCACATGAAGTTTTGTAGAGTTTTGTTACCAAATGCTAAGAAGTCTTTACAAAGTGCAGTTTTTTGGAGGGTTATGACTGGACCATGTTTTCATGGGATTGGCAAAAGCCATATTTTTTGATACCATGTAATGCCCCTGCAAAATTTCAAGCCCCACTCTTCTTCATGGAGGTGCTAAAGCATCTCAACAAAGCGGTTGTAAGATTTTATTTTAATGCGGGCCTAACAATGGTTTGTTTTGTTTTCCTAATTTAATTCTGAGAAACAATTGTACTTTTTAGCTGAAACTATATAAAAAAAAATCAGAGTGAGCCAGGCACCTGAGATGGAAAATTTTAGCCCAAATGGTTGAAGTTTGACAAAATTATAAGCAACTGAAGATAGGATCTTATAACAGAAAGTGTTTAGGCATATTCAATATAGGCAGAGCTACCCTCTCCACCTATATTTGTCAACTTACAAGTCAATAGACATTGACACAGTCTTGAGCAGCATAACACTTATGTATGTAATTAAATCTTGGTGGTGGCACTTTCAAAAAAGCCAGGTGCTCTGCATTTTCTGATAGCAATCATAAGCTCTGGTCATTTAAACATATTATGCTGTGCAAAACTCCTGTTTGGAACTTGCTTTTGGTAATAGGTTATTAAGAGTTCACAGATTGGCCCAACAAAATCAGTTCACTCTAACTTTTCCCTTTTTATTTCCAGTACTCAAATGGACAAACTTTAGGGATAGTAAATAGTTCATTGAAGTGGCACCATGTTGCTGATGGAAGAGAGACAGAATCTGAAATTTCACAGTGTTGTAATTGTAGGAGTCCTACCAATAAGGTAGATTTTGTTTTTTAATCAAAATTAGCCTACCGATAAGGCCCTACCTATAAATACTGATCATGATGGTGGATTCTGTTAATCCAGTTAATCACAGAGTTAATCACATATGTGATATGCATTAAAAAACGTCTCTTTCTCATTACTCATTTTCAGGTAATGTCAGGCTCCTGGATCATATGCTGTAATAAAAAAAACTCATCCAAGAATGGAGTACGTGAAAAGGACAAAGCGGCTGAAAATGTGCAAGAAAAAATGAAGATGAAACAAGAAATTACTTTGCTTAATGGTGTTTCTTTAATAGTAGGGAACATGATTGGTTCTGGGATATTTGTGTCACCCAAAGGTGTTTTGAAGTATAGTGCCTCCTATGGACTCTCACTATTCATTTGGGCCCTTGGTGGGATCTTTTCGTTGTTTGGAGCTTTGTGTTATGCCGAACTGGGAACATCCATTGTTAAATCAGGAGCTAGCTATGCTTATATACTAGAAGCTTTTGGTGAATTCACAGCCTTTATCAGATTGTGGTCTTCCTTGCTCATTATTGAACCAACAACTCAGGCTGTAATAGCAATTACATTTGCTAATTATATTGTTCAACCAATTTTTCCATCCTGTGAGCCACCATACGAAGCAGTCAGGTTGATTGCAGCTGCTTGCATCTGTAAGTAAAGTTTGTGATTGGTAGAAATGAATTAATTTAATGCAGGTACTCATAAAAGCCTTGTCAGATTACCCTCCCCCTTAATTTTCTGTGAAAATAACCATTTTTTACCTAGGACAAATTCATAAGAATGTATTCTCTCTCTTGTGGAATGAATTTTTGTGGGATATGGGGTTGGTAGTGGGAGTTGGGGGGGTAGGAAGGGAGGGTTTCCAACATTTTGGCTGAGAGACACTATGATTGGTGATAGAAAAGAAAACATTTTGCTATGGATCAAGAGCCTGACCCAAAGTCTGCATTGAAGTCCATGGGAAAATTCATGGCTTTGGCTTCAATGGGCTTTTAAATGTTCACATATCCTCAGATAAATCAGTAACTGCTTGTGAGTGAAAACTGGTGAAACACTAACATTCTTCCTTAACCCCTCCCAACCAACCAAAAAAATAATAAAATCTTAAAAAATAAAATAAAAACCAAAAGCTCTACCTCAAGCAGAGTTTTGACCCCCAAAAGGTAGAAGTTCCGGACACTCCATGAAGTCCACTAAGGACTTTGCTGTTGCTATGGATTTTAGGTGGAAGCCTGGAAGGTAAATGTAGGTACATAGGACTGGAAGAGACCAGCATTGAGTCCCGTCCTCTGCTATCCAGGTGCTCAGATACTAAGTGGTGGATGGTAGTATAAAACCTTATGAGCCACATACACAGAACTGTGTATAATCTATGTGCTGCTCTTGGTATATGCAACCGCATGATCAATTGTCCATGAGGCAAGACAGAGCATTCCCTAAAAGACAGCTGACGCAGCTAGTGTATATTAAGGAATGAGTATAACAGAGTAGTGTATGCTGTGAATTCTGAGAAAATGTCTTCTCTGCAATTAATCCTGTTTATACTTTTAACACTCCCCATTGAGGCAGACAGGAAGTTAACTTCTGAAAAACAGAGACCATGATTTACACTGCCGTCCTCCTCATTCTTCAGTATTCTAAATATCTAATTTATTAGAAAGTAGATCTATTCTAATATATTTTATTAGCTTAACTGTGATTTAGAGCAGTGCTTCTCAAAGCCAGTCCGCCGCTTGTGCAGGGAAAGCCCCTGGCGGGCCGAGCCGGTTTGTTTACCTGCCACGTCCACAGGTTCGGCCGATCGTGGCTCCCACTGGCTGCGGTTCACTGCTCCAGGCCAATGGGGGCTGCGAGAAGCAGCACGGGCCGAGGGATGTGCTGGCCGCCCTTCCTGCAGCCCCCATTGGCCTGGAGCGGCGAACCGTGGCCAGTGGGAGCCACAATCAGCCGAACCTGCAGAAGCCAGGGGCTTTCCCTGAACAAGCGGTGGACCGGCTTTGAGAACCACTGATTTAGATCATCTCCATACTTGCACACACGGGATCTATTTCTCTCTCCCCAGATGGAACCTGGTATTGTTCCATAAACTACTAAATGGGAGGTGGGGAATGGTGTTTAATTACAGCAGTTTCTTTAAACATTCATTTTGGATTCTGTCTGAGTGATTTTTGCTGTATTCCTCATGTGGATCAGTTGCTCTGTTTTGTAACACCATTAGTTACAATGTGCTGCTATCCCACAATCTGCATAGTTTTTAAATAAAATAAAGATCCTGAAAGTGAAAGGATACATCAACAATCCTAAATCAAATATTTTTCAGTGGTCAAATAATTTCAAGTGGAGCGAAAAGACTCTTTATTCACTTGAGCTAACTTAAAAAGCTACAATTTTTCACCTAGAGCAGCCTCCTTTTGGGGCAATTACATTCATAGAAATCTACAACTCTGCCTCTAAGTGCTAGAGGATATTAAAAGAATGAGAGGTGGGCAAACTGTGGCCCGTGGGACCCTCCTGCCCGGCCCCTGAGCTCCTGGCCCGAGAGGCTAGCCCCTGGCCTCTCCCCCGCTGTGGCCCCTCCCCTGCTGTCCCTCCTCCCCCGCAGCCGCAGCTCACCGGGCTGCTGGTGCAATGCTCTGGGCAGCAGGGCTGCAGAGCCACAGTCTGACCTGGTGCGTGCTCTGTGCTGCGCGGTGATGTGGCTGGCTCCAGCCGGGCAGTGCGGCTGCCTGTCCTGGTGCTCTGGGCAGCGCAGCTGTAGCACCACCAGTGCTCCAGGCAGCGCAGTAAGGGGGCAGGGAGCGGGGAGGGAGGTTGCATTGAGGGCAGGGGAGTTCAGAGTGGTGGTCGGGGGGTGTTGTGGTCAGGGAACAAGGGGGCCGGATAGGGCAGGAGTCCCGGGGGGGGCATCAGAGGGTGAGAAGCGGGGGGTGGTCAGATAGGGGGCGGGGTCTGGGCCACACCTGGCTGTATGGGGAGGGACAGCCTCCACTAATGGGCCCTCCATACAATTTCGGAAACCCAATGTGGCCCTCAGGGCAAAAAGTTTGCCCGCCCCTGCTCTAATTGCTTTCTCTGCTGAAACGAAGGAAGATGGTAAAGGAATAAAAATTATTTTCTAGATCTTTCCCAATAAAGATGTGTTAGAGTAGGTGGCTTTCACAGCATTTAATCTGTCCATATGCAAATATAGGACCCTGGAATTTCAATTATGTCCCACATGCTAAGGCCCCATTGCAATGCCCATTGGAGTCAATGGGAGTTCATCCATTCACTTCATTCAACACTGGATCAGTTCGAAATGAGGAATTCATTTTTTAAAATAGCAAAACTTTGGGGGTTCCGTTCCTTACTATGAAAATTTCCATACCCTGATCAAGTAGAGTTCCTGATTCCACTCTTTTACAGACATAAAAAGAGGGAGAACATAAGGTGGGAAAGAGTTAGATTTGGATCTAAAATATGAGACAGTTGAGAGAGATGTTTGGTTTGGCAGTCGAAATATATAATTTGATGCTTGGCATTGTCATGGTCTTAGCTACTAACTCTGTCAAAGCAAATGTTCCCTTCTAGGAATAAGGAATACTGTAAGTTACCAGTGCCTAGATGGTGGTTTTAGATTATAGAGAATGGAATCCTATTTTAATGTGCACACCACATTTGTTAATAGAGTGGGCTTTATAGAAATCACTCAGATAGATATGTTTCAAATTGGACCCTACTCTGACATTAAAAAGGTGTTTGTCTTAGAACAATTCACTGTAAAATCTAATATTTTTTAGACCAAGAGCCTGTTACCACTGCATTACTCCAGTTGTGTGCCAATGTGTAACACCACTGATTTCATTGGCATCACAGTGGTATATAAAAGAGAAATGCCATGGTGTATCAAACCTCAAAGGGCACAGTAGTCCCACTGAAATCAACGGGACTACTCACAGTAATAAAGGTAAGCATGTGTGTAAGTGTTTACAGGATTGGCGACTTATATACTGGATACTATTTTCACCATTGTAAAGAATAATTTTTAAGTTGCAATATAATTTAAATGGCTGTAATCGCTTTCCTCCCATTTAAAACTAAAGAAAAGTGAGGTATGGATGAAAGGATAAAACACTGGAGCAAAGCCCAAATGAGATTTTCTGAGAGAAACTTGTGTCAAAAAAGGCCTACTAAAGGCTACAGAAAAAGGAATCCTTGTCCCTAGCCAGTGCTCCAGGGTACTCTACACCTCATAGCCAGCTGCTGTTGCGTTGAGGGAAGAGTCAGTTAGCCCTGCTGCTCGTCTCTAACTTTGCTGATTCATGCTATGTGCCCACATCCCCTACTCATCTCCATTTTGCAGCGCTGAGTTGTACGGTGTCACCTCCTCTACGTCTCTGTGTTCTCTCCAGGGCCGGCTCCTGCATTTCTGCCGCCCCAAAGACAAAAAAAAAAAAAAAAGAACCGCGATCGGCGGCGGCAGTTCAGCGGCAGGTCCTTTGCTCCTAGAGGGAGTGAGGGACCTGCCGCCCCCGAATTGCCGCAGGTGCCGCCCCTCTCCCTTGGCCGCCCCAAGCACCTGCTTGTTAAGCTGGTGCCTGGAGCCAGCCCTGGTTCTCGTGAGGGCTGGGGGTAGGATATGATGGCAGAGTGCCCCTCCACTACCTGAGCTTCTAGTGCTGCTGACATGTGGCAACTAACAGACTATTCTGTCACCTCATTAGGTTTTAACTTCTCTGACTAAACTGAATGGCTATTTCCATCAGCACACGGCTCGAGATCTGGTTTAGCAATAAAATGACTTTAGCTGAGTCAGGGACAGGACTAGACCAGGGAACAAAGTGTGACACAAGGAGTCACACACACTGTTCCTTGTTTTGAGAAGGGAGTAAGTTACTAAGTTCCTAATAGGACGTGGCAGCTAATAGCTTCTAAATGATCTTTGGATATTGCTACAGCTGGTTGCTCCTTCCTGAGATCCAGTCTGAAGTTCTAAGGGCCAAATGCTTTGCTGACTTGCAACTTCAGACACTCCCCACGCAGTCCACATGGTTGCACAAGTCAGTATAGAATCTGACCCCAAAGGAGAAGCATTTCCATGTTGTAGTTTCTTTTTCTTTCCCTCTGTAAATGTAAGGTGAGCATTAGGAAAAGCATCCTAACAGTGTGATCTGTTATACTATGAAAGTCTCTCTCAAAGAAAGTGAGCGAAGTCCCATTGTTCATCTAATTTTAAATGTCTCAAGCAAAGAATTGGAGAACATATTGCAATGGAAATTCTGCATTGATAAGCACTGAGTAGATGAGTTAAATGGATGACCTAATAGGTAACTGCACATCCACCCACTCACCTGACAAATAGTGTGTCTCTCATCTCTGCCTCCTTCCTAGATCATTGTCCCAGATGGTAGGTTGGCCATAGTGTTGAGGACAAGCTGGTGCGACGGAGGAAAGATTGTCAGGGCTGAATAAGGCAAGACAAGGGGACGTTTCCCAAAGAGGTGTATGCACATTTGCTCTCCATCTGGAATTCCTAGGCACTGCTAGTAGAGCTGACAAGAGGACAGTTCCATTTCCAGGCAACATTTGAGATTTCAAAATCTGTTTTTGTCTTGCATTGGAATGAAAACAAAACCTTCTGAATGTTTTCACAAAAACCATTGGAGTTCACGTGTAGGCTGGTGGTTAAGGCCCTGTTCTGGGAGACCAAACTCACTGTTTAGAACAGAGTTTTTCATCCCAGATCACTCCAAACAGGTAAAGACTTAAACCCCCATCTTTCAAGGCTAATACCCTAACCAACAGGCTACAGAGTCTCTCTCTTTGCTCAGCCTCAACCTGGACCCAGGAATGTTTTGGTTTTGACAGAACAGTATATTTGGGTGAAAATGTTCAAACCAGCTCTACTGGCTAGCAACAAAGAAATATAAAGTGAGGGCCCAAGAGAAGAAAATTGGATTTGTGATTAAGGAAGGGACTCAGGTAATGTGGATTCAAATCCCAACGCTGCTACAGACTTTCCTGTGTGACCATGGAAAAGCAACATAGTTTCAGTTCTCCTGGTGTGAAATGTAGATTCCTTTCTTGCATTCTTTGTCTATTTAGACTGCAACGTCTTTGAGGCAGGGACTGTCTCAGAGCCTAACACAATGGAGCCTTAATCTCCATCATGGATTTTAGGCACGACTGTAATCCAAATAAATAATAATCAAAATCCTGCCTGCTTCATGTGAGTAGCTCCACTGAAATCAATGAGATGATTCAAATAAAGTAAACAGTGGTTGGTCCTAAAATCAGAATTCAAAACCCAGTGCTTTCCCACTGATTTCAATGCAGAATGTCTTCCTTCCTCTCCTAATTTCTCTTTCTTCCAACCTATTACCAGGAAATGGCAGCCTCCATGCAGTAAGTTTTAGTTCTTTTTAAAAAACAAAACATAAAAACTGACTTAAAAATTAATTATAGTCAATTTCTATTGCTTTCAGTAGAAGTCTAGATAATTCTGAAGTGTTGAAAGAGTTTTTCTGTACTTGTAACTTTCATTTTCTTGAAAGCTGTATTATTTAAGAAAGCACCTATCTCATTTGTATTCCTTTTCTCAATAGGCACCTTAACATTTATTAACTGTGTCAATGTGAAGTGGGGAACCAGAGTACAAGATCTGTTCACATATGCAAAAGTTATGGCCCTTATCATGATCATCTCGGTGGGTCTTTATAAAATTAGTAAAGGTAAGAATATATTTCATTTTAGACATTTTTTTAAAAAACTGAACAGTATCTGAGAGTCAAAATCTATACAGTAGTATCAGAATCCACACTTTCATATAAAATGTTATGCACTGGGCAATAGCTGTTCATTTCCTGAAAAAGAGGTGACAGCTATATTGCTCTGTAGGATGCTTTAAGCTCCATTTACACTGTGATAAAAGACCCACGCCACACCTGGGCTCACAGGGCTTGTTCTGCAGGGCTATAAAATTTCAGTGTAGACATTTGGGCCACCAAAATGTAAACCCGGGGTTCAAACTCATGTTCAAGGCTAGCCCCCTTCCATCTACACACAAATCATGCTAACCCAGGCTTGGACCCAGCGTCTCAATAGTTTGCAATATGGGGCCAAATATTTTCATGAGAACAGGACAAGTTTTCAGTGCCAGCAATTCCGAACCCTAGTCTTCATACAACCTTGAAACCACACTTTAGCCTAAACTGCCTTGGTCTACCCTTGGTCCATTTTTAGCTGTAGAGGATGAATAGGGATTACAACATGGTTATACTCTAATAAGTTATTCTGCTTACTAGAGCATATTTGTTGGCTGTCAGTGGTTCCAGATCAAATTTTCCTCAGGTTCCAACTAATAGATTTTTTTAAATAAATGCCAGCTCTGCAAACTTAACCTGGGATATGAAATGCAAACTGCATGCTTTCTGGTTTGTGCATCATCAGCAGAATTGCTAACCAAATTCCGTTTGTAGAATCTTTATTGCTAGTGATGATGTGTGAATCAGATTTCGGATTCCAGGTTCATTTTGCAGACTTGCTCTCACACAGAGAAAACTCGGCAATGCTAACAAATGTTAAAAAAAAATAGTAAAAAATTATTTTTGTCAGAAAAGTAAGCAGCCATAAATGTGTCAATATTAGGGCTGTCAAGCGATTAAAAAAATTAATCGCAATTAATCGTGTGATTAATCACACTGTTAAACAATAATAGAATACCATTTATTTAAATATTTTGGATGTTTTCTACATTTTTTCAAATATATTGATTTCAATTACAACACAGAATACAAAGTGTATAGTGCTCACTTTATATTTATTTTTATTACAAATATTTGCACTGTAAAAGAACAAAAGAAATAGTATTTTTCAATTCACCTAATACAAGTACTGTAGTGCAATCTCTTTATTATGAAAGTTGAACTTACAAATGTAGAATTATGTACAAAAAAATACATTAAAAAATAAAACAATGTAAAATTTTAGAGCCTGCAAGTCCACTCAGTCCTACTTCTTGTTCAGCCAATCGCTCAGACAAACAAGTTTGTTTCTATTTTCAGGAGTTACTGCTGTCCGCTTCTTGTTTACAATGTCACCTGAAAGTAAGAACAGGCATTCTCGTGGCACTATTGTAGCCGGCGTCACAAGATATTTACATGCCAGATGCTCTAAAGATTCATATGTCCCTTCATGCTTCCACCACCATTCCAGGGGACATGCGTCCATGCTGATAATGGGTTCTGCTCAATAACAATCCAAAGCAGTGCAGACTGATGGATGTTCACTTTCATGATCTGAGTCAGATGCCACCAGCAGAAGGTTGATTTTCTTTTTTGGTGGTTCGGATTCTGTAGTTTCCGCATCTGAATGTTTCTCTTCTAAGACTTCTGAAAGCATGCTCCACACCTCATACCTCTCAGATTTTGGAAGGCACTTCACATTCTTAAACGTTGGATCAAGTGCTGTAGTTATCTTTAGAAAACCTTGCAATGCTGGTTTCAAAAGTGCCATGTGAACGTCTGTTCTCACTTTCACGTGACATTGTAAATAAAAAGCAGGCAACATTATCTCCTGTAAATGTAAACACGCTTGTTTGTCTTAGCAATTGGCTGAACAAGAAGTAGGACTGAGTGGACTTGTAGGCTCTGAAGTTTTACATTGTTTTGTTTTTGAATGCAGTTATGTAACAAAAAATCTACGTTTGTAAGTTGCACTTTCACGACAAAGAGAGTGAACTACAGTACTTGTATGAGGTGAATTGAAAAATACTATTTCTTTTGTTTATCATTTTTACAATGCAAATATTTGTAATAAAAATAATATACACTTTGATTTCAATTACAACACAGAATACAATATATATGAAAATGTAGAAAAACATCCAAAATATTTAATAAATTTCAATTGGTATTCTATTGTTTAACAATGCAATTAAAACGGCGATTAATTGTGATTAATTTTTTGACTTAATTGCGTGAGTTAACTGCGATTAATCGACATCCCTAGTCAATATGTACAGGGAGCAGTCCTGTGGCATATGTAGGGACCATTTTATGTGGTCACTTTTTTGACCATAATGTAGATAGGACTGAGGAGTTTCAGTTTAATAGAAGAGAAAATGTTATTGGACCGAGGCCTATAATAAAGACAGGGTTTAGGATGATATTTTATTGTGTGTATTCTGGGAGAACCAGGGTCCAACCAGGATTATAAACTCCATTGTGCTAGTCACTGTATTACCTCATAGTAAAAAACAGTCTCTCTCTTGAAGAGCTAGCACTCTAAAAGACAAGACAGACTAATAGAAATAGATGAGCAACAAATAAGTAATTTGTTGTTCCTGTTCAGAAATAAGCTACACTGGCACAAACACTTTTATACTGATATTACTGTCTCCATGCTCAGGGAGCTGAACTATTTATACTGGTATAGGAAAAGTAGTATAGCTTTTGTGTGTAAACAGGCCTTAGTAGGTCAGAATATGCGAGTTGTCTCTGATCTGTCAGCTCTGATCAGAAGCAAACTGCTGAACATAGCTCTAAGGACAAGGAGTGAGAATGGGGGAGGAGAACATTGCTGATAGTCATTCTCTACTATATTTTCTAATCTGGCTAGGAAATGGAGATGGAGAGGTAGCAAATGTTATTGTTGTGAATGAAGAATGCTAAGAGCTTTCAGTGGGAGTCAAGTCATCTGATAAGCCAGGGATCAACAACCTTTGGCGGCCCATCAGCGGAAATCAGCTGGCGGGCCAGGACGGTTTACCTGCAGCATCCGCAGGTTCGGCCGATCGCAGCTCCCACTGGCTGCGGTTCGCCATTCCAGGCCAATGGGGGCTGTGGGAAACAGCGGTCAGCACATCCCTTGGCCCACGCTGCTTCCCACAGCCCCCATTGGCCTGGAACGGCAAACTGTGGTTTGTGGGAGCTGTGATCGACCAAACCTGCAAATGCTGCATGTAAACAAACCGTCCCGGCCTGCCAGTGGATTTCCCTGATGGGCCACATGCCAAAGGTTGCCAATCCTACGCTATGAACTTATGTCTGTATAACTACGTTGCTCAGGGGTATGGAAAATCTACACACCTGAGTGATGCTTTATAGTGACTGAACTCCAGTGTAGACAGCGCTGTGTCGATGGGAGGGCTTCTCCTGTCGACATAGCTACATAGCTACCGCCTCTCATGGAGATGGAGTACCTACACCAACAGGAGACACTCTCCATCTTCACTAATTGCTACAGCTTCTGCAGCATTGTAAGTATAGACAAGCCCTAAACTAGTAGGGGATGAGCGTAATCTAATCTATATTATATTTAAATAGATTCAGGGTATTAAAATGGTGAAGCAATAGGAAGTTGGGGAGAGGGATGAAGGAAACTCAGGAATTTGTGATCAGGTCAATATTTTTTCGCTCAGCAGTTATTTTACTGAGAACAGTTATGTTTTCCCCTAGCTTCCGTATTCCTGATATAGTCAAATGTGTTTATGTTTGGACATTATAAATGTTTGTGATTTTGAAACCATGCTGTTTTTAGAAGGTAAGTTTCTCGGCCCTGTCACTCTGTTTTGATACCACTAAAGTCAGAGGTGTCTCTCTTTGTGAGCACAGACTCCCATCTGTAGTCCCTCTCCATGGAGTGTAGATGGATCCTATGATTTAACCCCACCTATCCCAATTCTAACAGTAACTGTGTATGAGATTTTGTTACAAAGGTGAAACACTAGTAGCTGCAAACTTTACTCTGTCAGTCTCCATAGCTTACTGCTTGTGTGTAACCCATGAATTCCACATATTTAACTACCTTCTTAGTGTTCAGGGTGACTTTATAAAGAAGGCTTCCCTTTGCTCCTAACTGAGTAAAATGTCTGAATGGTCGTCTCACCCATAATACATAATTCCATTTCTATTCATAAGTGATTTTTCAATTTCCTTCTGCATATTTGGTAATTTTAAAAGTCTTTCCTCCACTTCCACTTTCCCTGGGTATTTGAGGTAAACATTTTTATTCAAACCAGTTTCTTTAGCATGCTAATGAAAACCTGGACCCCAGGAGTTTTTCCCCTGTTGGATGCTTAAATAAATCTACAAAGTTATCTGTAGATAATTTGAATTACATCATATCAGATTTCACATTAATAAATGCATTACAGAAATTAACTTCTAAAAATGACAATATTATGCTTTTATATAGCAATTTTATCCATAGAATTCAAAGTGCTTTAAAAAGAAAGTAACTATAATTATCCCCATTTTATAGATGGGGAAATTGAGGCACAGATGTGACATGACGTGAGTCGTACATCAAGTCAGAGAAGGGGCCAGGAATAGAACTGTAGCCTCCTGATTCCCATCCTATCCACTGGTCACACTCTCCTGGGCTTTTAACAGAGGGTGTGAATGGTCCCACTGAAGTCAATGGCAGTCCCTTATTAATCAAGTCGGAACTAGTCCCATAATAGTCAGACGACAAATATGGAAAAACATTACTTACATGTGTAGTTCCATATCACTCTTTGTGAGATGTTCTGACGTCTCTAACTGACTAAGCTTTTTTATATCTCCGATGCTATGAAAATATCTATATATTTTTAAAAGGTTTTATGGTCTAAGAATAGTAGCTTTTGTTTTATTTTGTTTAGCTGAAGTGTATATACCTAACGTAGATAACATAGAAAAACATTTAAACATAACCTATAACTGCTTTATAATATTTACATAGGAGAAACAGAAAATCTTAAAGCTCCATTTGAAGGTTCAACAACTGATGTAGGATGTATAGCACTTGCTCTGTATTCAGCCCTCTTTTCCTACTCTGGATGGGATACCCTGAATTATGTCACTGAGGAGATGAGGAATCCTGAAAGGTTTGTGCATACTCTCAAATCCCCCAAAGAGTGTTACAAAGATTATGAAAACATGACAAGATAGATTGTTCAATAACCCAATGGATGAGTTCAGTGTGTATTTCAGGAGGCGGGGGGGTCCTAATTTTGAAATTAATCAAACTACTATCCATAAAAAACTTCTTAGCTTTTGAAAAGACCTACTAAGCACCATACCACTATGTGATTTCCCTTTATCTCTTCAGATGTATTATATCAAAAAGTCAATAGCTCCATATGTGACATTATTTTCTTTACTTTTTAGGATGGGATTTTCAAAGGCACCTAAGGAATTAGGGCACCCAACTTCCACTGAAAATGAATAGGATCTGGGTGCCTAACTTCCACAGGCTCTTTGAAATTCCCATTTTTTTTTATTTTTTTTGGTCAGCCAGTGCTGTATTTTACTTTCGAGGAAATGAGCCAAAATCAATTGTAATAATAAACTGGGGTAAAGGGGAGAGACAAAAGAGTTATACTAGTGTTCTGGAAACGTTCATTTCCAAGGCCTGGTCTACACCTAAAGGTTAAAAGGTTCACATTCTTAGGGGTAATATTCGATACTAGATTACTTTGGAAAGTGTAGACAAAGCCTGAATCAGCATGGAGAGGCACATACATTGACAGGAGCCAAATTTAAGTGAAGACACTTCCGCAGCTAGATTGGCAGCTTATATTGACCGTGGAGCAAGCCTGAATAAGTTTCCCACACCTGCAGAAAAGTTCTGTGTAAGCACAAAAGCTTGTCCCCATCACCAACAGAAGCTGGGCCAATAAAAATATTCCTCACCCACTTGTATTTGGGAGGAGCATTTCTCATTTTAATACGATGCAATACCATTTTATCTCTCTCTTTGTAGGAATCTACCCCTCTCAATTGCAATTTCAATGCCTATTGTGACCATTATTTACTTGATGACTAATGTAGCATACTATGTAGTGTTGGACATGCCAGCTCTTCTAACAAGCGACGCAGTGGCAGTGGTAAGTTGTGTGAAGTTTATTAAGGCAAATGTTTATAATATGTATAATGCTGTGGAAGATTCTCATTTGGTCCCCTATACAGCAGATTTCTTACCCTGCCAATTAAGGTGTTGTGTGTGTGTGTGTGTGTGTGTGTTTAATAGCTGTAACTACTTGTTTCTGTGTAATAACACCAGTACACTGTGATGACTCAGACATAATGCATATCTCTTTGTGAACTGATGCTTGTTAAACCATTGTATAATCTCTGTAAATCCTGATCCTAACAATGACCTAGATGTAGCGGTTGTTTTAAATAAACCAATTTTGCTATAGTTCTACTTCATGATGTTCAGTATTGTCACTGAACACTCTACACTGGCAGAAATAGTTTTGAGACAAATTGTTGCTAAGCGCTGCTCAAACTTTTATTAGCATTTCACACCCCCAAAATACAAACAAATATAGTCAACATATTATACAATATGGAAAGTCTATAGTTATTAACACACAATTCAACAATTGATTTATACATCCTAATCTGCATGAAAACCACTATTTCAAACCCAATTTACAGAAATTAACAAAAATACAATTTTGTTTTAATGCTAATGTAGGATTTATCTTAGCATTGATCAGCCTTTCAAAATTCCAATCACCCACTCAGCAGGAGTAGTTTTCATTATCATCATGGTAAAGAATGGGCTAGGAGACTCTGTGCTTGGACTGATAAATTTTCCTGACAGTTTTGCAAGGCTGTCATTGCATATTTAATGTAATTAGCCTCATGCGCTCTCTTTTCTATTGCAGACATTTGGTAATGAAACCCTTAGTTATGCTAAGTGGATAATTCCTATTGCAGTGGCCATGTCCTGTTATGGTGGATTAAACTCATCAACTATTGCAGCTTCCAGGTATGAAACATCAAACATGTAAAAGGCAGGCAGTACTCAAAGGGCAATCAATAGCACTTTGTAGTAAGTGGCATCATTTAATAATATATTGCAGTGGGACCTGCTGAAGTTAAGAATCTGTGACTATCTCCATTTCAGGCGTTTAGTATTGTAGGATAAAAGTAATGCACTCTACGTTAAGAATGCAGTCTAAAGGTAGCAGTAGAATGTTAACAGGAGTGACCGTTGAGTTTCTTTCTATCACTTTGTTCTAACTTGACTGGCTGACTTGCTACAAGAAATTTAGGGTAAAGATGGGGCAGGTATAGGGAGGGAGGGTGTAAGACTCCCATGCATGGCTGACACCAGTTGCATTCCTGGTGCACAAAGAATGTTTCCTATTAGTGCCACCTGGGGAGTGAACCATCCCAAAAGAAATGAGACATGGTTGGGAAAAGGCCTTGTAACATTGTCCCTCTGTGTATACTGCCCCTTCTAGTTAGTGACACAGCAGATTCACTACCCCTTCATGGTGGGGTGCTTTGGGAGGCATTGTATGAGGTACACTCATGTCTTGGCATAATGTTTCCAGGTGCTCTGGCTGCAGCAGTACAACTCAGCACAGCCTCCTTTGCCAAGCAGTAATTAGCTGCCATAGTGTGGCCCTATGATTGTAGGCCGCTGAGGGCATGCACCTCTCTTCTTTTATTTGTATGTAAAGCCCAGCACAAATCTCTGTGGCTCAGAGAGCTTGTAGGGTAAAATCTGAATAAATAAAACAAAGATCTCTGAGCACACCTCCAGATTCCAGTGAGAAATACCATGACTGAGTAGCGGTGTTATTTTAGAGTCAATTAATAGTCCAACTTTATTTGTATTACACTGAAGAATATTTGTATTCTTCCTTTTTCATCTGTCAAAGACATTTGTCATGCTGGATATTGCTATACTGTGATATTTGAAACTGATCCTATAATAGTTCCTGTTGATAATTCATAAATAATAAACAGTATTGGAACTGCTTTAAACAGAAAAACAAGGACCACCTAAGGAAAAAAAAATTCTTTCAGTCAAGCCAGAATTGACCTTTACATACCATCAATCTCATAAATTTGACACGGATCCTATTCAACAGAATTGAAAGTCTGCTAATGTTGCCATGTGCATGAATACATTAGAAGTACCAAACCTGAAGAAATGCCACAATCCAAGGATATAAGGACATCATTTAGCACCATCTTTGTCCAATAATATCATGTAGTTCCATGGTCATCTTTCTGTAACGCCAAAGCAAATAATTCAGAATATGCAAGTTTAGTGTGGAGTTATTATTCATTTGTGGGGAGCAACACTGCCCTTGGCCTAACAAATGTGGTGAATTGTCTGTATATAGCTGCAAGTTAATCTGAATCTAAATTAAGTTTTTAATATTTGGGTTAATAAATATTTATTTCAACGCTAATAGTTCATGCTTTATAGCTACGTATTTAGCATAATTGCATATTGTCTGTGGACAGGTATATACTTGAAACACTTGAAGAAAACTAAAACACTTAAAACCAAGATGCAGCTATAATACTGTAGGTCTCATCTTCTGTGTCTACAGCTATAAGTATGAAAGAACCAAATTCAAGAGACAAGTCCAGCACATTCCAATGCTGTTTGTTTGAAACTTACATTCTCCCTCCCACTGCTATTCACAGGGCATTATTTAGTTAGTTAGTTAGTTAGTTAGTTAGTTAGTTAGTTAGTTAGTGCTAGTGACTAGAGGCAAACCAGGTCAAAGTCCCTTTGTGCTAGGGCTGTGCCAACATATAGTAGTAAATGACTATCCCTGTCCCAAAGAGCTTACAACCTAAAGGACTGCATGGAGCTTCTCCACCTATGCAAAGGTGCAGATATGGCTCCCCCCCCCACCCCACCCCCAAAAAAAGAAAGCATGCTCAGCACAGAGGATTGGACTGGACTATATATTTTTTTGCTGTCAAATTGCCCCTCTCTAAGCATTGTGGTGGCTTTTGATAGTCCTGGTAGGGTCTTTTGACATTATAGGAGCAATAGCATTCAGAATATTTCAGGCTACAGGAAGTTCTTTCAAGAATATTTAATGCAATGTGCAATGTTTCTACAATAAACATATGCTTGCAGTGAAGTACTATTTTCAGTAGCACAGATTTTATTATTGGAACTCTCAAACGAAGGACTACTTAAAATGGGGCAAGTGCAGTCTTCTGATTACCTAGTAGCAGTCTGATCTACATTTGTCACATTAAGTCAAATAATTCCTTAATGATGGAGACGTTTTTGTGCCCTGGCATGTACACTAGCGCTGTCTATTATCCAGTGAAAGGCAAAGGTGGACAAAAGAATGGTACTTACAACAAAAAAGCATTTTTCTCCATAAATGTTTACAACAGCAACAAAAAATATAATTGGTTCTGCCTTTGTGGAAAAACAGAAGGACTCTGCTTGGCTAATTAGACTTTTTTTCTTTCCTTTTGTGTTAGGCTTTTTTATGTTGGAGCCAGAGAAGGACACCTTCCTGATAGTTTGAGTTTGATTCATATAAAGTGTTTCACACCAATCCCTGCTCTTTTCTTTAATGTAAGTAACAGTACTTCTCCACTTCTTTCCTCACTATTTTGGGAATTTTCTGCAAATGGTAAAGTATTATGAATCCCTTTTACACTCCATTTCTCCAGGCCTGTCTACACTGGGGAAGTTTCCCCAAAATAGCTAGTTGAACTAAATTGTTTTTTAAAACAGTTGGAGCCACACGGCCTGATTCTCATTTACACTAAGGGCACCCAGGTAAAGTGATCTTAGTGTGAATGAGAAGTAGGCCCAGAGGGTAGGGTTAATCAGCCCAAACTAGTGTTAAAATCACCTGTAGGGGTTTATCTGAATCAGTTTTAAAAATAGTTGGGATATTGCAACAAAAATGCTCAGTTTATCCAAGATTTAACATTAATTAGTCTCTGTGTTCTGATCTAGGTTAGAAAAAAGGGAAGGTTTAAAATGCATAACCACAGAGTTTACAGCCGCACAGCTGTACCGATGCAGCGGCTAGTGCAGACGCTCTATGCTGACAGGAGAGAGCTCTCCCATCGACTTAATTACTCCAGTCCCCACAAGCGATGGTAGCTATGTTGGCAAGAGAAACTCTCCCGCTGACATAGCACTATCCAGCACTTAGGTCAGTGTAACTTGCACCACTCAGCGAGGTGGCTTATTCACACCCCTGACTAAACTGATACCGACGTAAGCTGTAGTGCATACATAGCCTAAGTCTTTGTGTGGGTTTGCATATTCACAAAGCCACATACTGAAATTCTCAGGTGAATACCACACGCTAAAAAGAGAATTAGTTTAGTTGGCTTTGGGAAAGAGGAAGATTGACTCACAATGAAATACTACCAGCTTCCCAATGAAGAATGCTTTATGTAGTCATGTGCTAAAGTATATAAGAATTTTAAAACAATATATACACACATTTGTCACAGCACTTAAAATACTTGGATCAAAGTATTTAAAATTGGGTTCCTAAAGCTAGACTTTTACATCCATATTTACTTTATTCTTCTCTAATTGCACAAAGGAATCTTCTTTGTGATGGGCACTTATAGGTATTTTAAAATCTTATTTACAAATTAAAATGAGATATTGTGGCGCAATAGCAACATTTCATTGTAAATGAGATTGTGGGACACAGGGACAGGGAGCTGTAAGATACAAAATTAGTACAAATGATTGCAAGTATTAATCCAGAAATCAAATAGATTAAAGTGAGGGGGGGGAATCCATCATAAAGCATTTATTGCTGCTTATTAAACTATTCATTTCACTTGGTGAAATTCTATAGCCTGTCTTATGCAGATGATCAAAGTGCCTTTTTGCCTTAATATAGGAATCTAGGAATGAGTCATTTGAGTCTGAATATTTCCACTAGTGGGAATTACACTTGTATCAGTGGGAAGGGTTTGTTCTCTTAACATGTGAACATAATTCCCATTTATAAGAATAGAAGTTTTCTGTGTTTATTGAGGGAAGAATGCACTCTTTCAGTTGTGCTC